GCTACTGGATCCAACCTTTCCCTTAAGCAAACTCTTAGTGTCAGCATTTTAAATCTCCCTCTCCTTCACGTAGTGACTTAATGAGCTAGGAAATAATCAGGAAGTAGGCAGGAAGAGAGATGGTAAAGTCTTAGATGACATATAATTCACTATTGGCTACTGAAAAACTTCATTTTACAAATGAGGAAGCTACAGCTCAAGGGTTTGTAACCTACACAAAGTTACACAGCTGGGTGAATAGCAAAGCCCAAAACAGATTTTAGGTCTTCGCTGGTCAGATGAGACAATTGGAAAAAACAACACATGAAGCTCTCTCAATGTAATTATGTATTCTATATCAGCTAGAAGCTAACCTTAGTTTTATACTTGCAATTTCATTCTTTTTTATTACTGAAATTATTGAGAAATCTCAATATAAAAATTCATTTGGTTTTACCTCTGCTTAATAGATTCTCTTTTTCTTCACTTTAATCTTAGGAAGTAAAAATTTCTAATGGAAAATTATTACCTTTATTACATATTAGAGGCTCAAAGCACGAAATTCGTGCAGGAGTACGCTTTCCTTCCCCCAGCTTCCCTCTGGCACCGGACCCGGGCTTCCCTCGCAGCCCCAGCTTTGTCCGAAAGGTCGTCCGAAAGGACGTCTGGTCTCATCAGCATATTATGCTTTTATTATTGTAAAAGATAAGACTCTCCAGCAAAACAAAATCCTGTAAACATTACTTATAAGCAGGAGACTAAAAGGATAATTCTACTATAGATTTGGCCTAAATATATTGAACATTTCATAATCATATTTAATTAATTTATACCATTTCATATGGGAAAACTGAATTCAAGGACAATTCAGCTTTAAAAAGTACTGAGTACCACCCTGGCTGGTATGCTCAGTAGTTAAGAGCATTGGCCCTCAGACCTAAGGGTTGCAGGTTCTATTCTCAGTTAAGGGTACATACTCAAGTTGCAGGTTCTCTCAGATTGGGGTGCGTTCAGGAGGCAACTGATCAATGTGTCTCAATGTTCTTCTCTTTCACTCTCTCTCCCTCCCCTTTCTCCCTTCCATTCTCTCTAGAAATCAATGGAAAAAAATGTCCTCGGGTGAGGATTAAAAAAAAAAAAGTACTGAGTACCTACTATGGATCAGGTCTTACTGCTCTAGTCAGAGAATTAATTAACAAATCAAAGCAAAAGAAAAAGTATTTATATCCTTTGGGACTAAGCATATTTAGGCCAAACTACTTACCAAAGACAGTTAAATCTCAGTGGCCCTCCCAGTATACAGTGATGCCAAAACCAGACAAAGAGATTACAAAAAAATCCTATATAATAAGAGTAATATGCAAATTAACCATCACTCTGCTACACCCACTAGCCATTGCCCACCAGCCAAGCAGGTGCAAAGATGCAAATAAACCCAACCAAGATGGCTACAGCCACAGACAGCAGGAGGAAGATTTGGGTTTCCCAGGCAATGGAGGAAGCCAAGCTTCCCACCTGCGCTTGCCAGCCTAGGCCTCCACTCAAGGCTACCAAATTTCAATGAGAGAAGTTACATAAATTCAAACAGAAATGGCCCACAGAGCTGGGAAGAATGGGAGGCTAGTGTTGCTCCCAGCAATGAAGGAAGCCAAACATTCTGTACACCCCGACCAGCTCAGGCCTCTGCTTAAGGCTACGAAGTTTCAATTATAGAACATACATAAATCCCAAGAGAAATGGCTGCCATCATGGAGCAAGCAGAAGGCTTGGCTCTGCTCTAGGCTACAAAGTTTCAATTATAGAAGATAAGTAAACCTCAGATACCAGGGCTTCCGTTTGGGTCACCAGGGGGTGTGGCCGGCCTGCAAACCACCACAGGTTGCCCCACACCCCAAGGGTACCCTTACCCATATCAGGTACACCCTTCAGGGCAAACCACTTGGCCTCCACCTGTGCACTAGGCCTCTATCCTATCTAATAAAAGAGCAATATGCAGATTGACCATCACTCCAACAAACAAGATGGCTGCCCCCATGTGGTCAAAGATGACTGCCCCCATGTGGACACAAGATGGCCACCACAAGATAGCCAGCAGGGAAGGGCAGTTGGGAGGGACCAGACTTGCAGGAGAGGGCAGTTAGGAGCAAACAGGCTGGCAGGGGAGTGGTTAGGGGGTGATCAGGCTGGCAGGCAGAAGCGGTTAGGGGCAATCAGGAAGGCAGGTAGGCAAGCAATTGGGAGCCAGCAGTCCTGGATTGTTCTCAGACTGAAGAGGGTGCAGGCTGGGCTGAGCGACACCCTCTCGTGCATGAATTTCGTGCATCAGGCCTCTAGTAAATTATAAGCCAATATCCTTGATGAGCATACCGGTAGATGCAAAAATCCTCAGCAAAATATTAGCAGACTGAATGCAGTAAGATAATTAAAAGATCACATACTAGGAGTAAGATCGTGACTGGCAAGATAGCAGGGAGAGAGTGTAAGAAAGTGAGGGAACAAAAGGGATGTGTGTAGATGTGTCTGGAGTGTGTGTGTGAGCTAGGAACAGTTAGATCCTGAAGGACTTTCAGGGGTTGGTGGACCAGGCAGTCTTTGACTGCAAGATCCCACTGCCACTGCAAACACGCCTGAGCAGCTGGTGCTGGCACAGGAACCACACCATCTTGAAGGACAGAACTGCTGTGACAAGGATTCTTACCTCACCACCACCCATACTGGCCTCAGATACAAACCAGGACCCTACAGCCACTCTGGACAAAGGTCTGCTACCACAGCTGCATATCCAGGGACACTGAGACTCCAGACATCCCGGACATAGGATGAGTTTCGGTGAGTTAGAGTGAATTCCCTTCCCTGCTTATCCGTGGCAGCAACATAGGGCCTGTGTGATTGGTGGCACACGAACGCGTCTCCTGCCAACACCGGGTGGGTGTGCAGCCCCATCCCCCTAGCAGGCCAGGGACTTTGATTAGCAGTGCATGCGCTGAAGGCCACACTGAACACCAGTGACTTTGATTCTCGGCCTGTGCGCACAGGGACTCTGTTTTTTGTCGTGCATGCATGGGGACCCTGATTTTCAGAGAGCGCTCAAGACCACACTAAGTGCCAGAGACTCTGATTCTCTCTTAAGTCCCAAGGACTCTGATTCCCAGGCACATACACAGGGACTCTGTTTCTCAGTGTGCACGTACAGGGACCCTGATTCTCAGTGCATGGACAAGACCTCACTGAGCATCTGTGACTCTGATCCTCAGTGCAGGTATGCGGGAACTCTGATTCTCAGCTTGTGTAGCTCCAGCCAACCATAACAGCCACACGTCTTGGCGTCTGAGCTCCTCAGTGACACTCAGGTGGTGTGATGCTCCTGCCGCACACAGCTCAGACCCCCACAACTTGGTGTTTGGACCTTCTGGTGATTGCAAAAATGGGGAGACAATGAAATAATCCCCAAAGGAAAGAAAAAGAGGAATCACCAAGAAAGAAAATAAGTAAAGTGGAGGCATGCAATATGTCAGAAAAAGAATTCAGACTAATGGTCAGACAATTCATAAAGTGGATGGATGAGAAAATCAACAATATATGCAAAATTCAGGAAGAAATCAAATGTTATATAGCTACAATCAAAAACATGATGGAAGGTTTCAATAATAGTCTAGAAGAAGCAGAGGACCGATTTAGTGAGTTAGAAGATAAGGTAGAAAAACAAGCCCACTCTGAATAGCAACTAAAGAAAAAAATTAAAAAGCAAGAGAAGAGCCTAAGTGTGCTTTGGGACAACATGAAATGAAGTAACATATATAATAGGAGTGCCAGAAGGACAAGAAGAGCAGGCATGGATGACAATATATCTGAAGAAATAATGACAGAAAACTTCCCTCATATGGGGAATAAAAAAATCACACAAGTACAGAGAGTCCAAGCAAGATGAGCCACAAAAGACTCACACTAAGACACGCCATAATTACAATGGCAAATGTTAACAACAAGAGAAAATCTTAAAGGCTGCAAGAGAGAAACAGAGAGAGTTTCCTACAAAGGATCCCCCATCAGATTAGCAAATGATTTCTCAACAAAAACACATCAATCCAGAAGGGAATGGAATGAAGAATATACAAAGTGATGCAAAGAAAAGGACTGAATACAAGAATACTCTACCCAGCAAGGCTATCAATCCAAATTGAAGGGGGAAATCAGAAGCTTCACAGACAAAAAAATAAATTAATTAAAATAAAATAAAATTAGGGAGTTTATCACTACTAAGCCAGCAATGCAAAAAATGCTAAAGGGAATTCTGTAAAAAGAAATAGAAAGGGAGGAAGGAACACAGGCATAAAAAATAGAAATGACTACAAGCAAATCCTATCAATAACCACATTAAACATAAATGGATTAAGTGCTCCAATCAAAAGACATCAAGTGACTGAATGGATAAGAAAACATGACCCATATATACACTGTCTATAAGAGACCCACTTCAGAACAAAGGTCTCATACAGACTGAAAGTGAAGGGATGGAAAAATATCTTTTGGGCAAATGGAAATGAAAAAATAGCTGGGACAGCAATACTTATATTTGACAAAATAGATCTCAAAGTGAAGACCATAACAAGAGACAAGAAAGGCCACTTCATAATTCTAAAGGAATTGATACAATGAGAGGATCCCAATGCAGGAGCACCCAAATAATCCAAATTTCTGGAAGATATCAGGGGAGAGATATGAAAATAAGACAGCAAAGAGATTTTCTAAAATATAATATATAAATCTAAATTTAAAAAATTTCTTTTAAAGTTTCTTAAGTTACTAAGGACTCTCTTAAATTATATTTATAGATCTTAACTCCAGTTTTATGAATTCTCAAAGGTGAGAACATATTTCAATAATACAACATTTATACTATTCCAAAATACTTTTAGAGATAGAACCTAAATCCGAAATCACTTGTTTGAAATGAAAATTGTCCAAATCTATCCAAAGTGTTTTTCTTTGGAAAACTGCTCATAGGAAAAGGAGATCTGTACCTTTCCATTACAGCGAGACACTCTTTTCTCCAGGTAAATCGACTACCTCGTCGTAATCTGAAGGTGCCAGATGTAGCAGAGACTGGGGGAGGCGTTTGTCTCCATTCTGGGTCTTCTATTGGAATGGGGGCTGGTCTCATACTTAGCGTAGCCCCTGAAATAAATAAGGTATTTTTTAGCAAATATCTTCTAATTTATTAAAACCAATGTGATACATATATCATGAAATCAACAGTAATAAACTTTTGCGTCTTCATTGAAACTTACAGGCTATATTAACATATTTTATTGATTTTTTTACAGAGGAGAAGAAGGGAGAGGGATGGAGAGTTAGAAACATCAATTAGAATCATTGATCAGCTGCCTTCTGCATACCCCCTACTGGGGATGTGCCCGCAACAAAGGTACATGCCCTTGATCAAAATCGAACCTGGGATCATTCAGTCCACAGGCCAACGCTCTATCCAATGAGCCAAAACAGTCAAGGCTGATATTTATATATTTTTTAGAAATAGAAATTCTTTGACCAAAATAAAAATCTAAAGAAACAAAAACTCTTTCTTAAAAAGTCATCATTAATTATTTTATGTCCTTTTTCCTCCCGGTTTGTCAGTTGTCTTTTATCTTTGTGTCATTTTATTGAAACGAAACTCAAAATCTATCTCTTTTGGAGAATAAGTATAATATTTAGCCCAGTGACAATCAGACTACCTTCCTCTGAAAAATCTCTTAAAATTCCTATTTGAAAGTTTTAATCTTTTTGAACAATTCCCATCTATGTTCAGGAATTTTCTTTACCATTCAAAGGACTTTTTTGTTATTGAGAAAATGGAGCCCTAAAAGTATATATGCAGGAAGGAGTTGAATTTAAAATAATCCTAATTTTTGTAAACTCTAAGTCACATACATATAGCATAAAAGAAAATAGGATGATATTTCATATGCTTTAGTGTACCAACGAAATCAAATCTCCATAGGTCTACTACCTGTTAATGCTAAATCCCATTTTCTGTTACTTCTGTCATATAATTAAAACACATGAAAAAAAATATTTATAATTGAAATACTATACTAATTCAGACTAACCTTTTCTCAAATAGCCTGAACTGGTGATAATGCATGTATTCATTCCTTCATTCATTTACCAAACCCTTTTTACATGGCTTGTTCTAGGCTAGAAGCAATGAATAAAACAAACCAAAAAAAGCAACATTATCCTTGACTTCATAGACTTCATTCAAAGAATATAAATGTAACTTGGTATGCTAAAATAGAATTCACTCCCTGGCTCTCCCACTGTTCTACCTTTCTTAATTTTTTTTTCAATTACAGTTTACATTCAATATTATTTTGTATTAGTTTCATATATCCATCAAAGTAGTTAGAAAATAATATACTTTATAATACCCATCTGACACCAGACATAATTATAATATTATTGACTGTAGTTCCTATTCTCCCACTATTCTTTCATTCTTTACACTGTGAAATTCATCTTCCCAAGCATAATTATGATCATATCACTCTGCTGATCAAAACCTGCAAAAAGGTTATTCCCTCTGACTATGGAATAAAATCTAAACTCAATATAGCCCTAGAAAAATAGTTTAGAACTGCTTAGAATTATGTGGAATAACAATATTGCACATATTAATAAATATGTATTTCTTTTTCCATAAATAAATCATTATTTATTATACCTTGTAATTAGTACCATAGGTAGTATTTCTACATCATCACATATTTAGATTCTCCTTAAGGGTTATAAGATCATATGCATTCTCTTATACAGATGCCCAGTCCTGATTTCCCTCTCCAAACTTGTTGCTCTTATGTCTTTCTGATTGGAGTAAATGGCATCACCATTCTTCAAATTGCTTAGCTCTAAAATCTAAGATTCATATTTGACTTCTCTATTTCTCCCACATACTATATATCCAGTCCAAAGGCAAATTCTGTCAATTTTATCTTCAAAATATATCCAGAATCAAACCAATTTGTATTACTTTTATTGCTACTACTTTAGAACAAGCCAGCATCATCTCTCTTACGCATAACTTCTTGGGATAGGTTCTAAAGATGGTCTTTCACAGTAAGTCCCACCTCCTTGTAATCATGCCCTTGATCTGGGCTGGTCCTGGGACATTTTGGCATCAGAAAATGAAAACAATTCAAGGCTGGGTCTAAGAAGCTTTTCAGTTCTTAACTAGATCTCCTTGATGCTGGCTCTTAGTGAACCAGCTGCCACCTAAGTATGATTAACCTGAGACCACAATGTTATAAAGAAGACCAAGCTAGCCAGGTAGAGTGAAAGATGCCCAGCCAACCCCGAGGTGCTCCTGCCAAATGTATCCAGGTGCCAGACATTTGAGAAGAAAAGCCATTCTAGCTACAGGACATACCATGCAGACAAATGTAGAACCCAGCTGGACAGAAATAAAGCCCTCAGCATTATTTAGTCCCAATACAAGCCAAATGGTAATGACCCTCTAAAGTGGTTCCCAAGGATCCCTGCCTCACCCTGTTGTGTAGTCCCCCCCTACCCTTGCCGTACCAGAATTAGTCTGTGATAGTATGTGATTTCCAATATTAGATTAGAGAATGCACTGTGGAATCTGTCTTGATTGCCTGTCTCTGGGAAACTAGCTGCCATGCTGTAAGGACATTCAGGGAGCCAATGGTGATGCCCATGTGGCTCTGATGTCTCTGGCCAGCAGACAGAATTAGGAACTAGGGTCTGCCAACACTCACATGCATCATCCTGAGAATACACTGTGCAGCTCCAGTGACTGTGGCCCCGGCAGACAACTCAACTACAACCTAATGAGAATGCTGAGCCACACCATCCTGGCTAAGCCATGCCTGGATTCCTGACCCACAAAAATTGTGAGACAATAAATGTTTGTTGTTTCTGGCTGCTAGTTGGTGGGGTAATTCTTCAGTTTATTTCCCCATTTTCCTTGATACACTGAGTATTATAAGTATTACTAATTATTCACATTTATAAACTTACCAGGCAAAAATTTCTCTTTAATATAGATTTTACTATTAGTAAGAACGACCATGTTTTCCTGTTTACCATAGCCATTATGCACCTTTTCTTTTGTGTTTATATCTTATGTTCTTTTTCTTTTGTTATTCAACTTATTGGTGTGTACAAAGTCATATATAGGTTGCAACTATTTCCCCCCCCAGTTTGTCATTCATCTTTTATCTTTAATAACTAGAGGCCCAATATAAGAAATTCATGCAAGGGGCTCAGCCCTCGCACCCTGGAAGGTAAGAAGATCGTCCAGATGGTCATTCTGCTGTTTGACCTAATTAGCATATTAGCTCTTTATTATATAGGATGGTATGCTTTGTGGTCCTAATTTTTATGTATTCATATCTGTCAATATGTTCATTTATGGTCAATTCACTTTGCATCATTCAGAATATTTTTATAGTTGTTTCATTTTTGTAAAAACCCTTAACTTCTTCCTGTAATGGACAAGTATGCCATCATACAATGGTTTAGAGATTCATGACTTAAAATATAGGGCAAACTATGTGTTGCCATTGTTTAAATAAAGTTTTATTTGAACACAGCCATACCGATTCAAATACACATTGTCCTTTCTTATTTTGCACTACAATGGCAGAGCTGAATAGCTGTGACAGAGACCACATAGCCTACAAAGCTTAACATATTTACTCTCTGGCCTTTTACAGGAAGAGCTTACTGCTGATCCCTGGTTTAAAAAATTCCTGGTCTACACACTGTGAAACTCTAAACTGAAATCCTTTTTTAGACAGTTCAAGAAAAAGGATTCCATGCTGCCAAGATATCTTGGCAATTAGGTCTAGGTCTAATTCAAAGTTAACAAAGGAACTATGGTGCCGGAGTAAGAAGGAACTATGGTGCCGGAGAGTTTAAAAATCTTTATTTTGGTACTTTTCTGAATGCAAACAAATTACAGTCTGACAATGGCGCTGGAATTTATCTAAGTAGACTATGTAAATTTAGTTCTACAGCCATCATAAAAGGTCCAAAATAGAGCCAAGCTGTTATCATGGTTGATCAAGGCAGAGGTAGAAACAGACTGGGTAAGGCAGTAGGTCCTCTCATCCAAGTCCTGACTCTGAAGAAGAATAGAGAGATTTGGAGCTTCAGTGGGTGGAGGACGGGGAATAGGTCAGGGAATTCCAGGTAGTGGGCCACATCTATATTTATGGCATGCTTTCTTAGGTAAGCAGAGTGAGAAATGGGTACAAATAAATCAAAGAATACAAATACTCTTAACTTATGAGATTGGAGAAAATAAGGCAACTAATAATAATGGTTCTTCCCTGGTTTTGGGGTTTATTGGTAATATAACTTAATGTTTCTTTATAATATTCAGTGTTGTCCAATGAATATTATAAAAAAGTTTAGATAAAATAAAATTGCTCAGGAAGTAAAAGAAAGAAAGAGAGAGAAGCAAGGAGGAGAAAAAAAGAAAAGTGAATAGCGGCCTGACTACTTTAAAAGTGCCCTAACTAGTTTGGCTGAGTGGCTAGCACATCAGCCTGCAGACTGAAGGGTCTTAGGTTCGATACTGGTCAAGGGCACATGCTTGGGTTACAGGCTTGATCCCCATAGGAGGCGTGCAGGAGGCAACCAGTCAATGATTCTCTTTCATCATTGATGTTTCTATCTCTCTCTCTCCATCTTACTTTCTCTCTGAAATCAATAAAAGTATATTTAAAAAAAGAAAAAAAAAAGAAATCAAGGTAATTTTTGCAAAGAAAGTAGAAATTCTGAATAATTTCAAATTTGTAAACATACTTCTTTTGAAGCAATATCATTACTTTACTTTTGGTTGAAGGCTTTTTTTCTCGGTCCCTTTTCTTTTTTCAATATAACAGCATTTAAAATAGCACAAGAAGCATTCTGGAAACACTCGAATAAACAGAATTTTGTTCCAGAAAACTTGGTTCATCTTGCTTTGGTCAAAATTGATAGAGAGCAATGAATAACTAAAAAAATTATTGACTTTGACAGAAAAATACAAAGATACTAGACTGCAGGTAGAATGCATATATAAGACTTAAAACCCATTTGAAAAAAAATATGAGTCTGTTTTTTTTCCTGAATAACCCACTTTTTCCCCTCTTTAGAGGAAGTATGTTACC